TCAGGACCAGTGGTGAGAGTGGCGATACCAGGAGGGTGAAGGGAAGGTGGAGAAGAAAGGGGGAACCGATTACAAAGATCTACATATAACCTCCTCCCTGGGGGATGGACAACATAAAAGTGGGTTAAGGGAGATGTCGGACAGTGTAAGATATGACAAAATAATAATTTATGAATTATCAATTGTTCATGAGGGAGGAGGAGGAAGGGACAGGGGAAAATGAGGAACTGTTATTAAAGGCTCAAGCAGAAAGCAAATGTTTTGAGAATGATGATGGCAACAAATGTACAAATGTGCTTGACACATAGATGGATGTATGGATTGTGATAAGAATTGTATGAGCCCCAATAAAATTATTTAAAAAAATAAATAAATTCCACGCAACATTAGGAAATAATGAATAAATGATGAAAATACTTCAACAACAAAAAAGAAAGAATGCCAACTAAAATGTTAACAGAGATCAAGATGTCCTAGAAATCAATGCTTTATGTAAACAATCTCATTCTCTAACAATTCTACAAAAATGAGTAGCTACCATATTGATAATTTCTGAGAGACACATGTACTGAAATATTAATAAAACGCAACTATTATTCACAATTTAGTTTAAGTGCCACCCTGGACGCTCAATTAAAGACAGGACCATGGATCACAGAAGTTAGAGAAGCAAAGGTAAAGGGTCTGGCGATGTAAAAACCCACCACCATTGAGTTGATTCCAGTATACAGGGTTTTTAAGGCTGGAAATCTTTACAGCACAGTCTCATCTTTCTCCAGCCCAGCAGGTGGTGGTTTTGAACCATCAGCCCTGCAGTTTGCAGTCCAAAGCTTACCTGACAACACTACCAAGTGTTCTTAAGAACAACAAGGCAGAACTGACCAGGAAATTTCATAAGAGCAGCTCTCTTACTGCGAAAGGAGGGGATAGATATGCTTTAAAAATTTCAAAAACAAAAATCACTACTATCGAATTGATTCCAACAGGATAGGATACAACTATCCCTGTGGTGTCCAAGACTGTAAATCTTGACAAGAGCAGAAAGTCTGTCTTTCTCTGGCAGGGGTTAATAATCCATTACATGGGAAGAGGGGAACATAGGCATAAGGCTGGTGGCCCACATAAGTACTTAGGGACAAAGTTGCAGAGAACTCTGCAGACAATGTACTGTACAACAACAATGATTTCAGATTATTCATTTCCATATTACCTTTTTTCTCTTCTTCTTCTTCATCACAGAACTCTTCTAAGGAAAACGTTTCTTTGAGTTGCTCTAAATCAAGTTTTAGAGTGTCTAATTCTTCCCCACTCAGAGAATTCAGAATAGATTTCACCTGGAAGGATTTAAGATCATAATACATGTGAGAGTAAAGAAAAGGAAAAAATCCACAAGTGAAAAGATGGTAGATCAAATTGTAATCAGTATTATGAGCTCACCAGTCAATAAAGATACCTTTCAGGGATCTCAAGAGTGGTTATTAAAAAATAATAATTATCCAGGATTTTTACTTCCTAAAGTACAAGTCAGAAATGTATGAAAATTACTAGCACTTAATAATAGCTTAATAGGCAGTCCCAAGGTTCTGAAGATCTGACTTCCATTAAAACCCAGTTATGAACCAACCCATGTAAAGCCTATCTTATTAAAATATCATGTACACAAACTGGTTCCTACTAGCCAACACATGATACTTTGTAGAGCACACTAAAGCATTATCATCATTATTATTAATGTATTAGCAAGAAAGAGATGCTTCAGTGTACCTGGAAGTCTTTCTGCATAGTGTTTTTTATGCATCAAAAAGCACAGATATATACTCGTTATCTACTATAACATTTCGTTAACTGATGTTGAATATGAACTATACTTCACTGTTCCAACTTAGGCACAAAGTCAACTTGAAGACAGACTTGGGAATGGAACTCATTCATAATCGAGGACTGTCTAGAAGGAGACTTGAACCTACTTAAAAACTAACA